CACACACACACACACACACACACACACACACACACACACACACACACCCCCGCGCGCGCGTGCGGCGCGTCTGCTAAAAAACTGCTGAAATGAAGCACTTGCTTCAATTAGAATTGTAGCATTTTAGTAGCATATTGATGCTTAGGTTGCTGTTGTGTCATAAATATTTACATATATTTTCAAGATTGATATTTGTCCTGGGGTGGTATGGTGCTTTGATACTTTTTACAGTTATGATTTTATCCCTCACATAGGTAGATATTTCAATCTCTCTACTTCTCATCTTGTGCCATTCTTATCATAGAATTAGAAGATTGAGAACTGGAGATCATGTAGTCTGGGCAGTTCCCAAACTTTTTGGTCTCAGGACACTTTTTCAAATTATTATTTTAAAAATAAATTTTATGTGTTTTTTTTTTCTAAATATCACCATAGTTTGCTCTAGTGTCTCTCTCCCTCCCCTTCCAGAGAGCCATCCCAGGTAACAAATGGACAAAAAAAAAAAAGAAAAAGAAGAGGAAAAAATATCACCATAATTGATCACTGCAGTCAGAAAATATATGCAGTGTACAATACTTATGGACCTTCCACCTGTATACCTTTATATTCTTAAAAATTGAGAAATTAAAAGAGCTTTTGTTTCTGTGAGTTATATCTATTAATATTTATTGTATTAGAAATTAAAATGGATACATTTAAATATCTATTAATTCATTTGAAAACAGTAAAATCTGTATCATGTTAACATAAATTACATTTTTTATGAAAAATAACTTTTCCAAAACACAAAAAGAGGAATGACATTGTTTTACCTATTTTCACAATTGGTCTTAATGACTAGCTTAATAGAAGACAGTTGAATTCTTTTATCTTGAGTTCTACATTCAGTATATTGAGATATGTTGTTTTGGTTAAAGTATATGAAGAAAATCCAGCTTTATACAGATCTGTATGTAGTTGGAAAAGGGAAAAACATTTAAATAGGCAATTACTGTGTTAGTATTATATAATAGTTCTGATCTCATGGACCAACTGAAGGAGCCTCAGGGAGCCCCAGAAATTTGCAGACCAACCTTTGAAACTACTGATCTTGTCTGAGTCCCTCATTTATAGATGAGGAAACTGAGACCCCAAGAAGGTAAAGGACTTACAAGGTGTCATAGGTAGCCAGTACTGTAGTTGAAATTGGGAACCTACTTCTTCTGATGCCATATCTAGTTCTTTTTTTGTCTACATCCTATCTCATTTATTTCTATTTATAAATCCTCCATAGATGATCCACCTAATGTGCTAGAGGTCTATCCTTGTGATAAAAATTATCTTGTACATATATATTATTTAGGTTGCCTATATCTTGTTTTATTCTTTGTATGAGCCTGATCTATTCTCTATTTTCTGATTATACATATTATTGATGAGGTCTTTTTTCATTCCTGAGATATCATTGGTAACATTCTGTAGCATATATTGCCTTGTACATATAGGGATAAGGATAGGGGCCGCATTTGTGATTTCATTAGGATAGTAAACTCTCCAGTAAGGAAATTCCATCTCATTGCAATTTGGCACTTTCTCTGCAACTTGCAGTCTTGTCCAAAGTCCTGAAGCTAGCTGGCTCTCCATGGTCGTACTGCCTCCCTTCATGCATGTAGTAAGTAAATGCTTATGGTGCCATGTGTATTTCCATATGTTCTTTAGTTTACTTGTAATTTTGATTTTTCTGAGATTGTCAGGTCCTGTGACTCTTGATTATAATACATCTCCAGGAAAATATTAGTATTAAAGAAATGATCGTTTGTGACAAGTGATCATTTTGTCATCATTGTAAGCATAGTTCG